AAGGCGCGACGAGGTGCGGGCCCGCGGCATCGCCAACAGCCAGCCCCGCGGCCCCGCCCGTGTGCTGAGCCGCGGCAGCCCCCGCGGCCCCTCCCACAGACGCGACGAGGGCCGGCGGCGCTGCGGCCTCCGTGGGCCACGCCGCAGATGCGGTGAGGTGAGGAGGCGCAGCAGCGCCTGCGAGCCACCTCGCAAATGCGGCGGCATATGGATCCGCGGCCCATCCCGCCAACGTGGCGTGGTGCGGTGGCGTTGCGGTCCCGGCAGGCCACGCCGCAGACGCGGCGAGATGAGGAGCCGCAGCGGCGCCCGCGAGCCACCCCGCAATTGCGGCGGAATCCGCGGCCCGGCTCGCCGGTACGGCGAGGTGCGGAGCCGCGGCAGCGACATCCGCGGCAGCGACATCCGCAGCCAAGCTCGCAGCCACGGCGAGGCGCAGGAGCCGCGGCGGCATCCGCAGCCGCATTCCACGGCAGCCACTGCCGCAACAATGGCTGCCGCTTCCAGCGCCGCAACGGAAATTACGTCCGCTTGCGGCTCCCCCACCAACATGGGCCGCCACCCTACCTCCGGCGGCGCATGAAAAATGGCGCCAACTTCCAAATTGGCGGGGCGGCAAAACAGCGGGAATCCGCCGGTGCCACGCGGAGTGTGGGCCGGATGGGATGCGTCCGCGCTCCCACCTCTGTAAGGGCGGCGGTGAGCTGGTCGATCGCCCGCAGGAGCAGCTGCGACCGCTCCTCGGCATCGCCCCCCAACACCGGGGGTGGTGCGCTGGGACTCCCAGCCGCCGACACCACCTGCCCCGCCGAGTCCATCTCCACGACGACGGACTGCCCCCCGGGTCGCAGCAGGAGCCTCCCCGCGTCGTCAGCACTCTCCTGGCGTCCCGCCGGTGGATTCTTATGCCGCCCGCCCGATTTAGGCATAGCGACGGCAGCGTAACCACTCCGGACACCGGTTGTAAAGGAGTTCCCGACGACTCACTCGGAGGCTAAGGTAAGGTAAGGGCTTCCGCCAAGGTTTTATTACAAATCTTTAACAATACACAGGGGTGAACAACTCCCCAGGGGTTAGGGGTCCCGGGCTTGGTCCCGACACAGCCGGCTGCCCTGTGCTGTCTCCTCTGCCCCGGCCGTGGGATCAACCAACACGGCCGACCGAGGGAGCACAGCCACGTCTAGCCTGGCACTGTGCTCTCCTCCTATCCCTACCCTCTTGCCCCTGGCTCCCCGTTCCACCCTTCTCAGACCCTACTCTCCAGCTACGACCCCGCTTACGTCACGGGGTCCCCTTTTTATCCTTGAGGAGCCGTGACGTCACTCTGCTGCCCCGAGCGCATGACGTCACATCATCGCCCTGGACAGCACAAGTGACGCCACTTCCCCATTCTACTCCTCTACACATGTTTCAATGCACCTTTAAGATCAGCACACTAAATCAAAATACAGATAATACTTTGCAACGGTCATCCGGAGCGAAACATTTTATTTTATTTTAGGCCACTGAATAGCAGTGGCAGCTAGGGGTGTACAACTCCTCTAGAGCAGTTTTGAGTGAATATCTCATAGGTAGTGATTCAAGTTGCAGTTTATTGGCAATAGCATTCCAGACCCTGGGGGCATCAATAGCAAAGGCCCTTCCTCCGGTTTTGTACGGCAATAGGGAATGTGAAGCTGGTAAATGAGCGAAGACCTGAGGTCAAATTTGTTCTTTGAAACAGAGAGGAGATCCAGCAGGTAGTCTGCGGATTTTTTTGTAAGTACATCGTGAATAAATAAGATCTGGTGCACAAGCCGTCGAACATTAAGAGATGTTAAGTTTGACCCAATGTAGAGATCACGGTGGTGAGTCCTATATGGACAGTTCAATGCAAATCTTAAGGCCGAGTGATAGATGGAATCAAGCTTCTTCAGTACAGTACTTGAGGCTGATTTATACACGATATCACAGTAATCAAGTAGAGGCAGTATGGTAGCTTTTATCAATTCCAAATGGAACATAGGGGGGAAGCAGTGCTTGTGTCGATAACAAATTTTTTTTTCTTTTACCAATATAATCAGGATGACCCCAAGATACTTATAGATCTTGACTTGCTCTATTTGATAATTATTTAAGGAATGTAATTGGGGAAAAATAACTTCCTGCTTTAGTCCCTGTGAGAAGCATAGCACCTTGGTTTTGGAGGTATTCAGGACTAGCCGACCGTGCTAATCGTAGGTGTGGGAGGACAACAAACTAAACATAAAAAAATGTGTTACAGTTCAACAAAAAAGGGAAGCATTGTTAAATTCATAAATAAGAAATATTGTACATTTGCACGTGAAGCTATATAGTTCCGCGGTTCGGTTCGCAAGTGCGAGTTCGCGTTCGCAAGCCGGATGTTTACAAAAATGTATATATTTTTTTGTCTTTCAAAGCATAAAGGACTGTGCTTTGAAAAACACAAATCCCCCATATAGCCTTAACAGGCTGTTGGAACTAGTGTTGTGAGCAAGTCGCGTCTATGAAGGCCGACACTTGGGGGTGGGTGGCCAACACCAAGCCCAGCCGCCTTTGGCTCCCGAGTGGTGCTGTTTGCACACTGCACTAGATACTCATTTGAGGCTGCATCGACATAGGAAAGGCCCAAGACCGGTTCAAATAATTGTCAATGGTATTGGCCGTGATCAGAAATCAAACTCGGGTAGCTGGCTTTGTAGCGCAGCGTGCTAACAGCTACTCTACCGCTCCCCACAAGTTCACCACCGTCGAGAACACATCGTTGATAACCATTACAGTCATCATGTTACAGTCATTAATGTACATACTCCCCCGAATAAGGAATCGCCATAACTACCTCCGCCAGCAGCCACTCAGCTATAAATTACTGCATTGCAAAGATGGTCACTCCATCGCGTGCTTTCAGATGCACTTCTGCGGCTGTCTGGATGCTCTTCTGATATTAGCGAGTCACTGGAGCTATGCACTTTTAAATCTAGATTGAAACTAATTTCTTGAAAACGTATTTTTGTGTTTAGTTTTTTGTCGTTCCCCAGCACCTCTGATTAGCACATTTGGCCTTGTACGGTGCGAAAGAAGTTCAACATACATAGATGTAGACCACTGCAATAGCCACCACACACAATGGGGCTACTCATCGTCCACCTTGAGCCAACTGCTGCAAACAACAGATCTAATAGACGGTGTGCTGTTTGCTAAAGTGGCCCTCAGGGCCACAAAGTCCAACAAGGCACCGGGATACGTTGGTCTGCATCCTGAGTTCCAAAGAATGTGGGACTATATGGGCAACAATGGCATGCAAACAATCGTCACCGTCACACAAAGGACGGGCAAAATCTTGAAAGCATACGAGAAAGCCAAATTCATCACCATTTTGAAATTCGGAAAACCGAAGAACTCGCCCTCCAGATACAGGGCCATATTTATCTTGCACTTTCACCTCCATGCTGATGGAATGTGCTACATTTACCATTTGGGCTTCTCCAGATCCATTTCTTAGATTCCTTTATTTGAAGGTGTTTATTACTTTCGAATCTTTGCTGGCTGTGAACGCTAACAGATAACAGGGACTCTATCAATTCGGTGCCAATCTCTGCACTTTTAATCCACCTCTGCATTTAAGTCTTCCCCTTACGACCGTCACAAAGTCCCACCAGCCTCGCCCCCATGGGATTTCATGGCATTTTTCTTCATGCTGGTGGTGAATTTACACGAGGCGTCTCTCGGGCATAGTCTTCCCAGTGCGAGGGTGTGCCAATGTGCCCCCCGTGCCACCTCCTATGTGCGTCTGTAGCTCGCCGCGGCCCCGCGTCTCCCCCCCCCCCCCACGTTGTTTGTTGTTGTAACTTGCTGACCCACCCTCCTGGACATGTCAAAAAGAGCTTCAATAGCTGATCAGATTTCCCCAGTCTAAATAAAGATCCTGATTCTGAAAATACTATACACCGTCAACTTTCACAGTGGACATTAACGGTGCGCAGCAACAAAATCCTCCTCCGAACTACTGCAGGACACCGTAGCGCCTTTCTTTGTGGTGATCACCTTGGACTATAACAGCAGCGGTCAATATACCAAGCACTGCCATCCATGAGATTAATCTTAATGAGCTTTGCATCCATCAGCGAGCTATGTCTTTTAACAATTACCCGGCTTCAACCTTGTAATATAACGTAAACGTAAAGTACTTGCGCCATCTATTGGTAGGAGTCCATCTGTGTTTAATGTAGCGCATTCTAAATCAGGGACTTTTATTTGCCATCAGGTTTAACGAGAATTTTATGCTTGTGTCAGCGTTCTGATTTCTCCTGAGAGCCATGTAAGATCTTCTGTGATCCACCCAGGGTCGCGATCCACGTGGTTGGCCACCATTGAGCAATAAGAATGGCGAGAATACTAAAATATAATTCGCATGTGGGAGAAAACTGGAGATAATCCACGTCAAAATCTACGTGTCAAATACAAATCCACAACTAAAAAGAGAATTTCACTCGAAAGGGTCGGTCTGCACAGATGCGTTCACAGTCCCACTTCCTGCACTGCCTTCTCCCGGGCGCCTACGCAGCCTGGCCGGCTCGAGACGCTCACAAGACTCGCCTTCCCATAAACTATTTTTTTATTAAAACTGTTTCCATTTCATTTATTTTGTATTTACTACTTAACTTTCTTATGCTATTCGTTGCGCGAGGTTGCACTTCATTTGGCTGCTTTCAATTTCCACAATTTACTTTGCTCAGTCGGTGTTAAACGCCAAGGGCGTGACGAGTTTCTGTTTTCACTCCTGTTTGCTCTATGCCCCCTGTACCGTTCTCATTCCATTGTAATGTGCACCGATGCCTACTTTATTGAGGGCGATATTGGCACGTAAAATAAGACTGATTGGTTTAATACGTAGCGTTCGTAACTAATTGACATGACAAACCTGGCGGGTTGACAACACATTTATACTTAAGCGATCTAATCCAAAAACACAAACCTTTATCCGTCGACCCTCGCTGCAGGTCACAGCTTGGCCACCGATGGCGTCAAGCGGCTGCACGTGTGCGAGGAGTGCGGAAAGGGCTTCACGCACGCCAGACGCTGAAGATCCACGCGCGCACCCACACGGGCGAGTGGCCGCACGAGTGTGAAGAGTGCGGCAAGGGCTTCGCCTTTGTGTCATACCTCAAGAGGCACCGGACGACGCACATGGGGGAGCGGCCCTTCGCCTGCAAACGTGAGCGTGTGTGCGCGGGCGCACCGCCACCGCTTGCTTCACACATCACCACCGTTACACAATACACAGGAGAGCCACACTGACTCACGAGGACTCTTGTTCAAGAGGGTCCTGTATTGGGTTTTTTATTTGAAACCCTTTCCCGATCCAAGACATCTGCACATTGCAGGGTGGGGGTCCCGTTCATCGCTGAATCTCGGAACACGCAAGTGGCTCAGCGTTGATTTTATTAAAAGGCACACATACGTCATCGGAACCGGAAAGGGTTAAGATGTTTTCAGCCAATTAACAAGTTGTGTTTATTTTTACAAGTGGGAGGAAACCCACACCGTACGCGTGGGGCCAACACTCGATCCCTGTACAGATGGAAACAGATGGGGATTAGTCCACTTGCCGCACTGCCTTCTGGTGAGCCAGACCTTGACGCTCATGGGGAGTTTCACAACACTTGTGCGGTGATCCACCAAGCCTTGCCTCCAGCGCTGATTTACTGGCCACGTACACAGCCACCACCACCCAGCTAATTACGATTATGCTCGTTTACCCAGCAGAGCCTCAGGGAGGCTTATATGTGCTTAAATAATAAATTTATCATTCAGTGTATGTGACCTACTATGATACAGGGGTATCAGAAATGTGGGCAGTAACAAAGCAAATGGAAAAAAAGGCTGAAACGTATGGAGATGAATGTTGGGAATTACATCGAGAGAAAAGTGAAACACATCAATCGCTTGTGTTGTACTCGGGTGTTTCAAGGACTCTGTGGGTGATGTTGCTGCTGTATGTATTTTTTATTGGGTAATTTACATGGAACCTTTCAGCATTGGGTTTTTGTAACCAATACCAGTTACACTGTACTTTCTATGGGTAAAAACCCATGCAGAACAGTGGGAGAGAACATATAACTCCACACAGAACGGCGCCCAAGTCAGGAATCGAACCTAGGACTTTCTTACATCTGAGGCGCCGCCCAACAGCCGGATGCAAATCATGCCTCCAAGCCGAGGCGCCACAGTGGCGAGATGTTACCTCGGCTGGTATACCGGAGGTCCTGGGTTCGATCCCAACCCTGAGACCTGTATATTTGGAATGTATTGGTTCCCTCTCCCCGTGGAAGCATGGATTTTTCTCCGGGTTCTGCGGTTTTTCCCTCTATGTTTAGAATCAACATGCGTTTAGAGTAGTTGGCTGCTTTAACTTTCCAGATAACCCACTTCGTTGAGCTATCATTTGTGGCCAGGTCGCTTCTGAAAAAAAGAGCTACAAAGCTCAGTGGGTCTTATCTGATAAAACTAAAAAAAAAAATTATAGTTTAGTTTATAATGTGGGAGACCGTCAGATGTGGCTTTTGTGAACGTCTGAGATCGTGCCAGTGATCATCGCCTTGTTTGCCAGGTGTGTGGCAAGAGGTTCTCCCAGATCTCGACACTCAAAGCGCACCTGAGGACGCACACGGGGGAGTGCCCGTATGCATGCACCGAATGTGGCAAGCGCTTCCTACAGAGCTCGGACCTCATCAAGCACCGCGTGACTCACGAGAGGGCAGCCCTACACTTCTGAGCGCACCTGTGATGGAGCGCGCACTCATAACTCGTGCCCGAGCGCGAGGCTGTACGTGGCTTTGATGTGCAATATGCTTGCGTTTTGCTTGGCTACGCGTACGCCCATTCGGACTGCACAACCCCTTGCGTTCACATGCCGGGCACTGGTGGCTATTTCATTATCGTATCCACGCGGGTTTACCTAGCAAAGCCTCACTGAGTCTCAAGGCTGTTTCCGGAGGGTCTTTCCAAGTTTTTGTGGTAGGAGGGCGATGTTGCCACTGCGTGTAGTAATTGGCAGTGCTGTATAATTTTTCATCATTGGGATTGTTTGGCCAATACCAGTTACATTTTGCGTGCTTTTTACTTTCAGCTATCACTGGAAACCAGAGAACCCCAGAGAAACCCATGCAGAAAAGGGGGAGAGAGTGCAAACTCCACACAGGAAGGTGTCCGAGTCGGAAATCGAACCCAGGCCCTTCTTGCTGTGAGGCACGAGTGTTACCACTGCCACACTAGCCTGCCACTACGCAAATTTATAATGCGCCACTGTAGAGCAGAGGGTTGGTGGATCAATGTCGTTTGCGAAACTCCCTGCCCAGTCAATGGGCGTCGAGGTTGCCTGGCTGGCCCAGGGTATGACAGTTCAGCGAGTGGAATAAGCATACCCTTCATTCTCGCGGGTTGAGCTATCGCTATTTTGCACCAAATTAATTAAGGTACATTTTCACCGATCGTGCCCCTTTGGCTCGACCATTTGCGGTTGACCGCGAGATTCCTTGTACACTTCGTAACTGCACTGCTCGCAATGTTGCTGCCGCGGAAGAACAGACGCAGTGCCGTGTTGACTCCATCTTGTGCCTCCTAAGCGGCCCATCGCGGGTCCCAGGTCACGCGGTGTTACCAGACTTCAGTAAGGTTCAGCCGGACGATTTTTCTTCTTGTAGTGTACAGTACTGTAGACGGATGTCTATAGTATTGTACACTATCTTGATTTGAAGCTTTCGTGACTGCAGGAATTCATACTCTTTGGTTCTTTCGGTAAAGTCACGCAGATATAAAATAAATCACGACGTTTCGGGTGCAACACAAGCGCCCGGAACGTCGTGATTTATTTTATTTTATACCTACGTGACTTTACCGAAAGAACCAAGAGTATTGTACACTACGTAAATTTTTTCCATTTATACATTTACCGTACAAGTTATATTTAACACAGTAGAAAATATTGATCATTCAAATGCTGCGTGTTCAATGTTTCAGTTGATATAACATAAAAAAACGAGGGGTGGGTGTCATATTACAAACCATGAACCAAACCCTGTTACCCATTTGCCTTTTGAGTTTATCGCAAACGGGCTGATTGCGGCCAACCTCAAGATCGTAACCCCTGCGATGGGCACAAGTTTTCTTTACCCTCTACTTGTACTCAAATGCATACGGGGATCAAGCGGCACTCTCCCTGCACACGTAGGTACTCCGGTTTCCTCCATGTGTATAAACACGAATAGAATTGGCCAAATATCCAGATATAGGACCACAGAGCTCGGGAAATTGTTAGCACTAGTTTCTGGCTGCTTTCCTGTTTGCCAGTGGTTTCTGTCCTGTTTGCCAGTGGTTTCCCATGCCTCTGAATCGCTGTTTTGGAAAGCGAATGAAAAACTGCGTTAGTTGCAAATTCCGTATCGAATTTTGCATGTGTCTGTGGGGTGCGCTCTCGGAGAGGAGATGAAACGTGAACCGGAGCCGACTGCAGGACGGGTGGCACTGAGTGGTGAGAGAGCCGACTCACAAAGGTTTGCAGAGTTCATTCTGGCTCGAGGGTGACTCGGCTTTCATCTCTCCCAGGGAAATGTGGACCGCAACTTGGTAAGGGGACTCGTCCATTTTGGATAGACTGGCTTCCACCATGGGAATGTGGAATTTTCACCACAGAGCTCCTCTCGTGATGCTCGTGGTGAATTCCAAGAGATGAAGGCGTGGAGATGCTGCGACTTGACCGATTGTTGACACGTACATTATCAAAGTCCTTTTCGTTACCATTTGAGAAATGTCAGTGAATGTGGAGTGGTCATAGTTCAGTGTAAAGATCCAGAGTAGCAAGTTGTGTCTTGACCGACCAGCTGACATTGCACTCACAGAAATGGTGAGCAGTCCGTGCGATGTTTTGTCACCAGGACCCATTCTCATCTCAACGTACTCCATTAAATAAGACTACGGAGATCCTCTGTGTCTTGAAAAAGCAGCATTATCAGAGTGAAGGGGGATTTGCCCCCAATCACTTAAGCAACTTCACACGATGGCCACTTAAGCCCTCATTGATATCACCCGAGTGTCAAGTGAATGTCGTACCCGTAATGTATACTTTTGGGTTCAATCGCGTAAATATAAAATGTCGTAAACCCACTTCCATCCGACACGGGAAGATGTCTTCACAATTCTGGCAATAGCCTGACAATACTAGTTGTAATTACCAGCGAAACGTCGTTAACTCAAATTAGAAATGAGTTGTGGGTTTGCTCTCCAACAACCGATATGCTGCTGAAGAAGTCAAAAATTGGCACGTTTTCTTCCACGTGACAAACCTTACGAACTGGCTACGTCTGGTGGAGGAGAGTTTGACACATTTACGCCATTTAACCCATAGACGTTATCACGAATATTGGTCACAAAAGCCTACGTGTGAAATTGAATATAATACCACGAAATTCGCTTGGTTGAACTTTTGAACGCGAGGTCAAAGTGAATCGGCAGCCAATCGGGGGTTAGCGTGGAGCAAAAGGGGCAGCCCCGAGGTCTCCGAAAACGTGGAGCTCCACGTAACATCACGCCCAACGTTCAGCTCCTCCAACGTGACGGTAGGAACACCCTCGCAAGTCAGATGACAGTGCAACTCGATTACCCAGGACAGTCCGAGTGTCTCAAGGCCAGGGTGTGCGCCAGCAAGTATTTCGGTTTTGCCAAGGCCCCTGCCACGTGTCTGACCCCACGAAAAGGAACTCCAATGTGAAAGACGAAGCGGGGTCAAAGAGAGGAAATAGACAGGAGGACATGAGCATGTTGAAGCAATTGAACAAATTTGAACTTGACTGATGATGATGTAAAGCAACCTACCCACGTTGACGAACGTAAACCGTTCTCAATTGGTACATACGACCTGCAGTGACGGTTAGAAACGCGGGCACTGCTGAAGAGCACGGAGCGCAAGTTGAAAAATGCACCGAGTACAAAGGATGTGGTCAGCTTATGCAATGAATGACTTTCGAAGGACATTGACATCTGATGATCGTGGCTTGGAGCCCTTCATCCAGCAGTGGATAGATCACGTCTGCTTTATCAGAAAAATACATCCCACAATAAGTGCTAGTAAATCAAGTTTAATATAATTCTACAATCTAATTTTCTACTCATTTACAGACAAAATTAGACTTCTGAAACGAGCCCGCAAGAATCGGCATTCTTGATAACAACCACTGTGCGCGGTGTTCACACAACGCATTTTAACTACAACGCGGTTCTCCCATTCGGGAACACTTCTCAAAACGTGGAACGCGCACCGCTGTAACACGAAACGCGCACCATTATAACGTGGTCGACGTTTAACTACTCTCTTGAGCTGCACGGCTGAGTGGAGTTACTTGTAATGATACAGTAACATGGTAGCATACCCTCCAGTTTCTCTTATAAGGTGGTTATTTGTCCTGCCTTCTCACTGTCTGGTACATCGTATCTCGCCAAATTTTATCGTTACTTTATGGGGAAATTGTTTTTGTTTAATGCGTTTTTTGCGTCACGCAGCACTTTCAGGAATGCACCGATCGCGTTAAATGACGGCTTACTGTACTCATTTTGAGCCAGACACCAAGTGTTGATCAAAGCTAGACGCTGGCCCGTTCTCTCCACCAAGCTGCGTCCATTCTTCAGACCAAGTGTTTGGCGTGAGCCCGTGGTGTCCAAACACAACTCTTTTTTGCCATCGTTGGTCATCTTGGCACAAACCTCCCAGCAGCGTTTGCCTCTTTGTCACCTTCAGCTTCTTGTTCACATTCAGTGAACAGCTACGACATATCCAATAACACATGTCAACTCTTTGTTTTTTTTCGGTAAAGTCACGTATAAATAAGAAATAATAAAATAACATAATAGCGTACGACGTTTCGGTTGAAATAGCGTGATCAACCGGACTATGCGTTAATTGTGTTTTGACCGACCGTCTGTGTTGCTTTATATGGTTTCCAAATTTTGCTAAACCCTGTTTTTCTGGTATGCTTGTGTCCCCTGTTGTATCTGTGTTAGTTACCCCTACTTGGGTGTCTGTATATACATCTGAGGTTATGCGTTTCCCCTCTCTCATAAATTTAGCTCTTCTGTACCTGATGATGGCTGCTTGTGTTGCAACCGAAACGTCGTACGCTATTATGTTATTTTATTATTTATACGTGACTTTACCGGAAAAAAAACAGAGTAGTTCCTGCAGTCACGAAAGCTTCAAATCAAGTCTGAACACATGTCAAGTTTACACCAGCAAATAAGGTACTTGGGGCCAATCCATTGCTGGATGAAGGCCTCCACACACTGTGTCAGGTTTGGGGGGGACTATCTCACCGGACTTTACCACTCTGATGAAAGCAGTTTAGTACTGGTTCAGATACCACTCTTCACTTGTTGCGATGAGGAATCAAACTCGGGTTGCCTGGTTTATGGCGTACTGCGCTCCCTACCAGACTAACTTAAACAACAACCATTATTCCAACAGCCTACCACAGCGCGTCTCCAACACCACCTTTCCACTGCACGGTAATACATGCCAACCCTGACTTGTATTATGCCGCTGTCCCCCCATGATTTTGAAAGTGGGGAGCAGTATATTGAACGATCGCTCGTCCCTCTTGCTTCAACTCGCCCCGAGCTCCGACCGTGGTGACTCCGTTGTCATCAAGGGTTCACCAAGACATTCGTTGTCATCTCCGAACTAATTGAGCGTATTAACTCCACACAGTGATCAATTACAACACGTGTGAACGTTCAATCTACACAGCCGTAGCCCAGCATACTTTATTTATTTTTGTAAAAAAATGTATAGCCATCATCACCTTGTCTTTACCTAATGTCCTGCCCAGCCAACGTGCCCTGCCTGGGTATGTCAGGGAGGGCTGTGATCAAAGAGAGGGAGTGGAAGGGATGGAACAGAATAATATGAAATGCGATAGACACTTATTTGCACATTTGGCATCGGGACCAAGCTCATTTGTGCAGGCAAGCCTAGGACAGAGTGGGAATGGCTGGGCACCATTTGAAGTGGTCGCGAACATTTTATCCGATAATTTTTTGACTACAATATGTGCAATGCTCGATATCATTCATCGACAGGCACCGTGATTCATTTACATAACTCGATTGCTCCCATAAAAACATAATTTTGGTTCATAACGGCAACTAAAGCTGATTCAAAGACAGTGCCTTTAGTGGTTTTCAAAATCTCACCATGAGGATGGATGGACTACAAACTGTACGCTGCTGTTGCTGGAGATCCCATGTTTAATTTGTAGTCCCACATGTACATTAATCTCAAAACGCTGTAGAATTTGTGACGCATGCACAAATACCGCTCGGAGGCATGGGATAACCACGGGCAAGCGAGAGGGCAAACCAGAACCGGGCGCAAATAATTACCCGAGCTCCATGGTCCTACATTGGGATGTTAGGCCAATTCCAGCCCTGCCAACCCTCAACTCCCCAGACGCCGTGGTGCACAGGAGCGACATTTGTCCCTGTGTAGAAGGAGGAGACGAAACGTCACACGGCTCCTCGCGAGTCCCCCTCGCTCCCTCATCCCTCCACCCGTTCAGGGCTGCGCCACGGCAGAGAGCTGCGTGCGGATGCGCCCCAGCGTATCCAGCACAGTGTGCAGTGTCTCGCGTCCAAGCTCCACTGTGAGCGGCCCCGTCCCCTCCGCACCCTCCAACTGTACATGCACAACAGCAGTTTATGACTCGTGTGAGTGTGCGGGTGGACACGTGAAGGTCCGAGTGTGTGTGGGTGGACACATGAAGGTGTGAGTGTGTGGGTGGGCGAACACGTGAAGGTGTGTGTGGACACATGAAGGTGTCAGTGTATGAATGTGTGTATGGGGACCGGTAGTGTAGCGGTTAGCACGCTGTGCAAAGAACCCAGTGCCCCAAGTTCGATTCCTGCTCATGGCCAACACCAGTGACGACTATCTGAACTCGTCCTGGGCCTCCCCTAGAATGACTCAGCTTGGTATGCTGTGTAATAATCACCACTAAAGAGACAAAGGTGGCCGTAATTGGTGCTGACCACTCATCCCCTCGTGTGCCGTGCCGGCCAAAGGTGCCCGCTAACAGCACAGTCTGTACAGGCTATGGGGGATCTTTGTTACTGCTAAGGGCGTAAGTAACTCTAGATCTCACCTGTAAATATAAATTTACCATCAGCAGTGGGTGGTGGGTGTCCTGACATGGGCTTTTCAGCCCATATGCGCGTGTCTGCGTGATGTTTCCGTGATGTAAGCATGTGGTGTGGGGCTATGCGGTGATGCATAGCCATCACACGGCCAGAATGCTTGTGACATCCATGCATTCATGTGTCAAGGGGCTCACTTATATTATTCCGCTTGTTTAGCCAGAAAAGCTCACCAAGTCTCAAGAATCAGTAGGGGGCGATGCTGCTGTGTGTGATCCAAATTGAGTAAATTTAAAGTATACTCTTTGTTTTTTTTCGGTAAAGTGACGTAGGTAGAAAAATTACATAAAAAAATAATATATCACGACATTTCGATCGCAACACAAGCGGTCGTCCTCAGACGGAAAAATATAATCCAGCAGTGGAACTGCTGAACCAGGAAGAACACAGCGAGAGAGCTGTTACAACAAGAGGTTATATATGTTGGCCAAGGGCAAGCAGGCGGGGTCAGAGCTGGAAAGGAATTCCATCCCCGCACGCAAGCACATCAGTTGTGTTAATGGGGGAGATTAGGGAGAGAGAGATTAGGGAGAGAGATTAGCATGAAATGAGCTTCCGTCGCCACATAAGAGTATCGTCCCCGCATATGCGCACAGCAGCAGTGTTAATGGGAGATTAGCACTATGTTGATGGGAGAGATTAGGGAGATTAGCAAGTTAATGTAATGTCTATGTGTAACAAGCTGCGGCGCTGCCAACTGCACTGCGAGAGGCAAGCGCGTCAATGCAAGAGAACCACCGCAACGGTGGTCGCGCCAGGAAGACAGCCCATCACACAGCCAGAACCATCGATACATCGAGGCTAAGGGAGCAGAGGTGGCCATGTTAGTGAGACCCCAGCCCGTTAATGCAGAGGCACCCAACAGGGCAAGGCAACTCAGAGAGTCGAAGATAACAGCCAAACGGCAGGAAGGATGGAAGCACCACAGCAAGTTACGACTTTGCTTGGTTAATAACGCCCTTCCAATGATTGTTCAGCTTATACCCATCTTCTCGGTTGAAATTGTCTCTTTGTTTATATATCTGGATGGCTTCATGGACAAATCTTTGATGGTCGCCCGAAGATTTGCAGAGTACCTTGGTCTCGGAAAAAACAATATCGTGCGAGCCCACTGCGTTATAACAATGATCAGCCACGGCAGAGGTATTGGTTCTGCCGTGTTAAAATCTGCCTTGTATTCGCGAACACGGTCCGAGACATGTCATTTCGTTTCCCCAATGTAACTGCTGCCGCAGACACAACTTAGTTTGTAGACACCAGGGTATTGCATGTCAGGAATGACATCCTTCACCGATGGGATCAAATCACACATACATGGCCACCTCTGCTCCTTTAGCCTCGATGGTTCTGGCTGTGTGATAGGCTGTGTGTCTTACTGGCACTTGCCTCTCACAGCGCAGTTGGCAGCGCTGCAGCTTGTGTTACACATAGACATGACATTAACTTGCTAATCTTCCTAATCTCTTTGCCTAATCTTTCCCATAAACACTACTGCTGTGCGCATATGTGGGGACGATACTCTTATGTGGCGACGGAAGCTCATTTCATGCTAATCCCTCTCCCTAATCTCCACCCTTAACACAACTGATGTACTTGCGTGCGAGGATGGAATTCCTTTCCAGCTCTGACCCTGCCTGCTTACCCTTGGCCAACATATATAACCTCTTGTTGTAACAACTCTCCCGCTGTGTTCTTCCTGTTTCAGCAGTTCCACTGCTGGATTCTTTTTTCTGCCTGAGGACAATCGCTTATGTTGCGATCGAAACGTGGTGATATATTATTTTTTATTTGATTTTTCGACCTACGTGACTTTACCGAAAGCACCAAAGAGTATGGATTCCTGCAGTCACGAAAGCTTCAAATAAAAATTGAAAGTAATTTGTCAGCACTGGGATATTTGGCCAATATAGTAAGTCGCTTTGCAGGTGGTGTTCACACGAGTTTTCGCTAAAACGCGGAATGTGTCCCTTAATAAAGTGGAGCATGCACCATCATAACTGGGAACGCGCGCTGTTATAACGCAGAATTTGCACCGCTATAAAGGCAGAACGCACCGCTATAATGCGGAACGTGCACCGTTATCACTGGAAATGCACACCGTTATAACTCGAAATGCGCACTGTCGTAACGCGGAACATGCACCGTTATAACGCAGAACATGCACCGCTATAAGGCAACGCGCCCATTATAAAGTGGTTTCTCAGTAGTCTATGAAGATACAGTACGTGGAATGATGCAGCAGCGTACTCTCAGTTATTTGTCATGCCATCTCACTGCATGTACATCATACCTCACCAAAATTGATTGTTACATTATTTATGGTGAAATAGTTTTTGCTTAACACATTTTTTGCTTAACGCGGTACTTTTCAGGAATGCATCTACTGCGTTAAACAAGGACTTCCTGTACCAAGTACATGCTATCTTTTTTTTTAGCACTTGCATGCATCAAAAGCTCACCGTGTGCGACGTTATGGTGTTGTTAAGCTTCACAAGTGTGCGTGTGTGTGTGCGTGCCAGCGTGTGGGGGGAGGTGGTATCTGTGCGTACAAATCCGTGTGGAATCACCTGCAGCTGCAGGAGACAGGTAGGGACAGCCAGATGCGCAACCTCGTCAGAGGCGGCCTTCACGTGCACGCTCCACTCCATGGAGGCCAGGCGAGGTAGAGACACTGCAGCCGCACACAGGAAAATAAACACGGACACACACCAGACAAAGATCCCCCATGCAGCCTTAACCGACTGTTGGGGCAAGTGCTGTTAGCAAGTAGCGCCTATGAAGACTGGCACAGCACACGAAGGGGTGGGTTGCCAACACCACGCCCAGCCGCCTTCGTCTCCCCAGTGGTGATGTTTACACACCACACCAGGTACACATTTGAGGCTGTGTCGACCGAGGGGAGGCCCATGACTGGTTCAGATAATCGTCACTGGTGTTGGGCGTGAGCGGGAATCGAACTCGGGTCAATGGGTTTGCAGCGCAGTGCACTAACCACTGCCCCACTGCTCCCCATAACGGAGACACACAAAGGAACGGCCGCGTGAATTATGACTGGCAGAGTGGTGCAGCAGTTGAGAGAAGTAGCAAGAGCCATGGTGAGGTGTGGTGATTTATCGGTATTGGCAGTGACGACCTCTTGTTAATTCTCGACTCGGCATCACTCATCTTCCACTGCAGAGCCACAATTCATAAAGAGTGCATGGAGAATCATACTCACCCTGGTCAGAGATCAGCTCGCTTCTCCATGCTGGCCTGAGTGGACACACACAAGTACACAAAAGCACAAATACATACATGTACGACCACGTGTACCCAAGAAGCGCGCACACACACACCTCTCTCGGGTCAGGCCAGTTTCCCAAGATGCGTTTCTCAGAGCCCAGGAAATTTTGTAATGAAGTTACCAGATTATTGTGCATTTGACTGCTAGAGATCCAGGCCGAATACACGTGTAACACTCGCGGCTCATAATACAGACCCATAATATCTAAACAAAGGGCTGATAGTGTTCGTGTCGGAAATGAGGCCGAAGTGTGAACGAAAATGATCACTTTAGATGTTAAAATGAACGTGATCAGGCTAGTCGAGGCGGGTGAGATTACATAATTCTGACGTCATATATAAAAAATTGTGATTTTTTTTTTACATTATTTTATTTTACTACATTCACCACAATATAAATGAATCAAGTCACGGCAATTCGGAGAAGCAGTTTTGCAGAGCGCACACCGTCTCTGGCTGTGAAGTCCGTCAGGGTGTGCCGGGCGGACTGGTTGCCCTGCACGTGCTGGACGAGGAGGCTGTCACATGGCTCTGTGGCTACATGGGCTGAAGTCTACTCACATCTAAAATGAACAAACATTTACTTATTTTTCTTGCATATCTGACGCTCTAATTGTATGTGACAGTCGCGCGTAAAAGCATTTTCTAAATAAAAATAAATAGCCCTGGGGGAAGGCGGTGTGGATCGCGAGACCCTTACACGTTGTCGAGCAGCGCCTTAGCCAGCAGCGTCCTCAGGCCGGCGGGGAGCTTCTCCGGGAGCAAGCGGAGGGCCTCCTCGGGGCCCACGGGGCCCACAAACACGGCGCGCTTCGCCAGAGCGGCGAGCGCCAGCACCAGCTGCACTTACAAAGACAAAGATCGGATAGCCTTGACTGACTCTGACTGTTGGAGCAAAGTGCTCTTCGCGAGTAACATCTGTGAAGGCCAGCACTGCACACGGGGGGGGGGGGGGTGGGTGGCCAGCGCCATGCCCGGCCGCCTTTGTCTCCTGAGTGACGATGTTTACACACCGTACCATGTACTCATTTGAGTTTGACTCATCCTGGGGGAGGCCCAGGGCCGTTTAAAATATCCGCCACGGTTACTGGTCACGAACGGGAATCACACTAGGGTCGCTGGGTTCGTACCGCAGTGCGCTAACCACTGCACCATGACTCCGCACAGCTGCTCGCACACACAGTGATGGACACAGTGAGACGCACAACAAGATTCAAAGTGAGACAGTCACAGACAGTGAGGAAGAGTGAGACACAGTAGCGAGACTTCAGATACAGTGCGATTCCCAGACACAGAATCACACTGGACTCTCAGCTGCACATCGAGATTCCAAGTGTGAGGCACTAAGTGGGACGCACTGTGGGACAGACAGCAAGACTCACAGACACAGCGAGACTCACAGACACACAGTATGGCTCACAGACACCCCGAGACCCATAGACTCAAAGCGATAGACACACAGCGAGAATCGCAGACACACAGTAACAGATACACAACAGACACAGCGAGATGGACAATGAGCCTTGCTGACACACGATGACATTTACAGACACCCAGTCACAGATACAAATATCCCCCGTATAGACCTTGACAGACTGTTATGGAAAGTGCTGTTAGCGTGCACCTATGAAGACCAGCACGGCACACGAGGGGATGGGTGGCCAGCACCACAGCCGGCCGCCTGGGTCTCCCCAGTGGCGATGTTTACACATCACACCAGGTACTCATCTGAGGCTGAGTCACCATAGGGGAGGCCCAGGACCGCTTCAGAAAATCTTCACTGTTGTTGGCCGTGCGTGGGAATCAAACTCGAGTTACTGGGTTCATTTCTTTAGAACTGATGTTTGTGTTTAGTTTGTTGTCCTTCCCCCGAAGCTCCAATTAGCAAGGTTAGCCGCGTCCGGTGCGAAAGAAATTCAACGTACAGTGCATACATACGTGGAGCAGCGCGCTTCCCGTTGCACTACCACTCCCCACGATGAGGATTCACAGACGACCAGTGAAAGATACAGACGCATTGTGAGACACGATGCAAGATAGAGGCACGCCTATATGTGGAGTTTGCACTCCCCGTTGTAACATGGATTTTTCTCCGGCTCCTCCGGTTTTTCCCTCCACATTCAGAATCGACATCACGTTGTGTATTTGGCTGATATTTCCGCGTGATAGAATCACTTCGTTGAGCTATCATTTGTGGCCAGGTCGCTTCTAGAAAAGAGATAGTTCAGTGGGACTTGCCTGGTAAAATACAAAGAGTTAATAGTTTAGTTTATAGGCCACGTGAAGTGTCAGGACCTTCGCTGACAGGTCACGGGACAGACCCAGGTGCCACGGGTTGACCGGCAAGATGCACCACCTCGTGCCACATGCTGAAGACGCACGGGGCGCACTCACCTGCTCCGCCTGCTCGATGCTCGACAGCTCGAGGGCTCGCATCACCTCCTCCTTGAGCCCCGTGCGAAGGGCGGCGCAGGGCGACAGCGCCCGGGAAACCACCGCCCGCAGAGCCTCCTTTGAGGGAGCCTACAGAGACAAAGATCCCCCAACACCCAACCGCGTAGCCTTAGCAGACTGCAGGGGCAGAGTGCTGTTGGCCAGTAGGAGCACCTAGGAAAGCCGGTTTGAGTGAGTTAATGTGGGCGAGTGACACGGGCAAGAGAAGAGATGGACTGATGGGTGAGTGGGTGAGCCGCGAGGAGCGTGTGTGGAGGGGTGAGTAGGTGAGTTAGTGTGGGTGAGTGACAGGCGAGATAAGAGATGGACAGATGCAGTGCAGGAGGATGTGGAGCCTCGCGAGTGAACTTGCCGATGACCGGTACCAGCGGTGTCAACATTGGCCTCTGGAGGAAGTCGCCCTCGAACAACAACATAGGGCGGAGGAGCGACGCTCACAACAACGAGCGGAGCGCCGGGCGGATAAAACAGCAAGTTGGCACAGTAGGGTGCACGGGGTCGTGCATCGGCCAGTCATCTCAGTCAAGTCAACCCATGGCACCACCTGGGTCTGTCCCGTGACCTTCCTGCCAGCAGCGAGCCTTGCGACACGTGGTGGCGCCTCAAGGCGCACCTAGCCTGGCACAAGCGCCGTGGCGACGTCACCGCCGCCACCACCCCCACCTGCAGGAGCAGCGACAGCGCCGCGGCGTCCTCAGCTGTCAGCTCCGCCATGATCCCGGCACCGACAGCACCACGTGACCCCCCCCACCAGACTCCACCCCCCCCACCAGACTCCACCCCCCCCACCAGACTCCACCCCCCCCACCAGACTCCACCCCCCCACCAGACTCCACCCCCCCCCCCAGACTCCACCCCCCCCACCAGACTCCACCCCCCCCACCAGACTCCCCACCAGACTCCCCACCAGACTCCACCCCCCCCACCAGACTCCACCCCCCCCACCAGACTCCACCCCCCCCACCAGACTCCACCCCCCCCACCAGACTCCACCCCCCCCACTAGACTCCACCCCCCCCACCAGACTCCACCCCCCCCACCAGACTCCACCCCCCCCACCAGACTCCACCCCCCCCACCAGACTCCACCCCCCTCCACGAATCTTCACCCCCAACCTCCACGAGTCTTCACCCCCCACCAGACTCCACCCCCCCACCAGACTCCCCACCAGACTCCCCACCAGACTCCACCCCCCCCACCCGACTCCACCCCCCCCACCAGACTCCACCCCCCCCACCAGACTCCACCCCCCCCCCACCAGACTCCACCCCCCCCACCAGACTCCACCCCCCCCACCAGACTCCACCCCCCTCCACGAATCTTCACCCCCAACCTCCACGAGTCTTCACCCCCCACCAGACTCCACCCCCCCCACCAGACTCCCCACCAGACTCCCCACCAGACTCCACCCCCCCCACCAGACTCCACCCCCCCCACCAGACTCCACCCCCCCACCAGACTCCACCCCCCCCACCAGACTCCACCCCCCCCCACCAGACTCCACCCCCCCACCAGACTCCACCCCCCCCACCAGACTCCACCCCCCTCCACGAATCTTCACCCCCAACCTCCACGAGTCTTCACCCCCCACCAGACTCCACCCCCCCTACCAGACTCCCCACCAGACTCCACCCCCCCCACCAGACTCCACCCCCCCCACCAGACTCCACCCCCCCCACCAGACTCCACCCCCCCCACCAGACTCCACCCCCCCCCACCAGACTCCACCCCCCCCACCAGACTCCACCCCCCCCACCAGACTCCACCCCCCCCACCAGACTCCACCCCCCCCACCAGACTCCACCCCCCCCACCAGACTCCACCCCCCCCACCAGACTCCACCCCCCCCACCAGACTCCACCCCCCCACCAGACTCCCCACCAGACTCCCCACCAGACTCCACCCCCCCCACCAGACTCCACCCCCCCCACCAGACTCCACCCCCCCCACCAGACTCCACCCCCCCCACCAGACTCCACCCCCCCCACTAGACTCCACCCCCCCCACCAGACTCCACCCCCCCCACCAGACTCCACCCCCCCCACCAGACTCCACCCCCCTCCACGAATCTTCACCCCCAACCTCCACGAGTCTTCACCCCCCACCAGACTCCACCCCCCCACCAGACTCCCCACCAGACTCCCCACCAGACTCCACCCCCCCCACCAGACTCCACCCCCCCCACCAGACTCCACCCCCCCCACCAGACTCCACCCCCCCCACCAGACTCCACCCCCCCCCACCAGACTCCACCCCCCCCACCAGACTCCACCCCCCCCACCAGACTCCACCCCCCTCCACGAATCTTCACCCCCAACCTCCACGAGTCTTCACCCCCCACCAGACTCCACCCCCCCTACCAGACTCCCCACCAGACTCCACCCCCCCCACCAGACTCCACCCCCCCCACCAGACTCCACCCCCCCCACCAGACTCCACCCCCCCCCACCAGACTCCACCCCCCCCCCACCAGACTCCACCCCCCCCACCAGACTCCACCCCCCCCACCAGACTCCACCCCCCTCCACGAATCTTCACCCCCAACCTCCACGAGTCTTCACCCCCCACCAGACTCCACCCCCCCTACCAGACTCCACCCCCCGACCAGACTCCACCCCCCTCCACGAGTCTTCACCCCCCCCCCAACGAGACTCCACCCCCCTCCACGAGTCTTCACCCCTCCCACCAGACTCCACCCCCCCCCCCCCCCACGAGTCTTCACCCCCCCCTCCAACGAGACTCCACCCCCCCTCCAACAAGACTCCACCCCCCCTCCAACGAGACTCCCCCCCCCCCCCCACCAGACTCCACCCCCCCTCCACGAGTCTTCACCCCCCCCCCACCAGACTCCACCCCCCCCACCAGACTCCACCCCCCCTCCACGAGACTCCACCCCCCTCCACGAAACCTCACCCCCACACTCTGTGTCTACCCCTACCCCACCACACGAGACTTCCCCCCCCCCACGTGGTTACCCCCCACCCCACCCCCACGAGACTTCCCCTCCACGTGACACCCCCACCACCCCCCACGAGTGGGGGGTGGTGGTGGCTGCTGATGTAGATTGCAGGGCAACAACTACAATTTCACATTCAGGTGGTCAAGCCACATAGCCGCGTCTGGTTTCATTAGCATAGTTCATGCTGTACATTAATTATATAGCAGGGCCAAATCCTTATATTTATAGCAACCACTACCAAGCAAATGGAAACCCTCAGAAATTAAAAAATGGCACCAAAACAAAAGCACAGACAACAAAGTGATGACAACAGAGAAAGTAGTCCCCGAAGTCTCAACATCCCAGACCACAGCCCCAACTTCTCATTCGAGTTGGGAAACCTTCACAGGATGAGCAGTAGTGGAGGGGCCACAACGTTACCAGTGATTTAGACGGATAGGTCAAACGTCAAAAATGTGATTCCCTATGTATAAGCGTATGGCAAAGTGAATAAAAATGCCTTTAGTTCGTATTTTAATAATACTGTGGAGTCGATTTGTCACATGAATCAGCATTGTGGACATCAAGGCTCAAGTTAATTTGATTTTTGTTAAAATTGTTTTGCCTTTTCAGGCTTTAAGCGTAGGTACGTCAGTAAACCTCTCCGTATTGTGGATATCTACAACGTCATGTGCAGTGTGCTGGAGATCGAGCCAATGCCAAACAATGGCTCGTGGGAGGATGTGCGAGACATAATGAAGAGCGATGCCCTGCCAGTGAACTTTGCAAAAGTCGAGACTGTGCCACTGTTGCTATGCCTGTTGTGTTTTGTGATGTCTCACTTTGATCGCCAATTTACTGAACACAAGAGTTGGTTTGTGAGCAGGTGTGAATATAATTGTGTCTTGGACATGAATATCTATGACAACAGTAGCATGTAGGATTATAATTATCACCAAGCATAATTACCCATATAATTTGATAGTTTTTCCAATCTATATTCACCTAATAAGGGGCGATCATCACACCCCGTTGTTTGGAGTGTCCCGAGTGAAATGTTTGATTGCAAAGCCATCGATTGTAATTTCTAATAAATTATATTTCTGTATAATCAAAAAAGCCTCGACTCAGTCAGGTCGGCCAGGCAGATTCTGCTTGGGATGGTTGGCAATGTTTTCTTGTTGGTTGTAATTAATGGATTGTAAATACGTAGCATTTACCAACGTTGATGTCTTTACATATAATTGAAAATATAATTACTAGATTACGTATTTTAACACATAGGCTTTCGCGACCAGTATATATGTAGTGGTTGATTTCACTTGGACAACTTTTGTCTTTCTTCCAACACCACTTTATTTACAGTTGTCCACATGTCCTCAATGCTTCACAGTTCCCTTGCTTGCCACAACTCGCTCGCCGTGCCTCACTCGACTCACCGCCTTTGTCTCTCCACTGCTGGCTGCTTCGTCTCTGCTCTCCGCTATCACTGTGCTCTCTCCACTGCTGGCTGCTTCTCTCTGCTGCTGGCTGCTTCTCTCTGCTATCACTGCGCTCTCTCCACTGCTGGCTGCTTCTCTCTGCTCTCACTATGCTCTCTCCACTGCTGGCTGCTTCCACTTCAGCTCTTGCTTTCCTCTCTCCACTGCTGGCTGCCTTCACTTCAGCTCTGCTCCACGTCCTGCTTCATCCAGCCCCCGAATCCAATTCCCCTTTCTCCTCGCGTCTCCCCAATTTATCCCCGCTCTCATTACTCCCAAATTAATTAACCCGCGTCCCAAGGACGCTCCGCGTGCCCGTGCGCCTGTTACTTCTCCAGACTTTAAGACGCCACTTCAGCCCTGACAATAACACCAGCCAATCACAGCCGTCTCTGGCTCCCTAGCTTAATTGGCCTAATCGTTACCGCATCGTCCCAACCATCGCACCTGTTTGTCCCAATATGACCCGTATTGTCCTGCCCCCGCGCGATCTCACCATTTACCCCCATGCGCCTATTTATTCCACTACATATATAATACAAAAACTGACATCTGGTATGAAAGATGATTTACCGAAGCTATCAAAAGAGGGTATGTACAGGATTAATAGCTCCTGTGGCGAATGTTATGTTGGTCAGACGAGAAAAGTACATCAAAGAAAAATTAAATACTCACAAACACAACTGTCGGCAGTTGCAGCACATGATTGCCTAATTATTACTGGCCAAGACTAATTAGAGAATCTATTTAAATTGTGAGAAATTAAAATGTTAACCGTTCTGATAGCTACAGGCTTAGTGTTCCTTGAAGGCATATTATTAAGTAATAACACCTTTTAATTGCATGCATATTCAGGTCTTCATGTTTTAACTGTGACTAATGCAACTGGTAATATGTACTGTACTGCATATTCGCAGATTAATATAACCCAGTGTATGTTGATAAACTAACCCAGCTGGTAATAGGTACTGCATATTCTCAGATTAACATATATTGTAATTCATGATTACATTAGCCAACCCCCCCTCTGATCTTCGTACCAAATAGGCTCACAGTGGTGACATCACATTTACTCTAAGACCAAATCAGGAAGACTTCTTCGCAATTCTGGAGAAAAAAAATCGCCCGATGAAGCTGATTGCAATTACCAGAGAAACGTCGAACTCAAATTGTGGTGTGGGTGTCCACTCTAACACGCCGGTGTGCTGAAGTAGTAACTAATTGTCACGTTTTGTTTAGGTGACAAACCTTACTAATTGGAAGTGTCAGATGGTGCTGGGATAACGACACTATTGTTTTAATGTAAATCAAGCAAAACATTATACTGTGCTGTTTA